AAAATGGGCTTTCTTCTTACATATTTGATCTTAATGAAAATACAATAGTGCAACACTACGTTTCAAGTTATGGGTACCGGCAAAGTTTCATATTTGTTCATTCTGTAGTTTTTGAGAATATACTGTTAGCAAAATTTGGCCTTAGCTCCATTAGTAGTAAGATTACCATCTCAACTGTTTAACATTACAATTACAGGTACTGACAATTTTGAATTTCACTTGAATGAAACAAGTTTGAACATACTGCCTATCTGTTTTGAGCCATGGCTACCAGCAGAGCTGTAGTGGTGGGTCTTCAGCAGCGATATAATGACTATCAGTACGTTACCATATCTTAGAAGAGGGTGCACGGGAGGCTGAAAATAAATATCTCCATTATGAGACTTCCTTGCCTATTGGCTTTTTATTAATATCTCCTTGTGGACTGATTTTACAGGGAAGGTGCTGTCATTTAAAGCTATGACCATGGACAAATTGGAGGGTGAGGCAGTGATAGAGGTTGAGCGTTTGTCCAAGCTTGGAACAGCACGGTAAGTTAAACTGTTTTTAAAGGACACATGCTTGCTTGTGCTTCAAATGTGAATTTGGAATAATGTACATTACATAACACTTCTGTTATAACTGTTAGGTAACATATCGGGATTTAGACAGTACCTTTCTTTTACTCAATCGTCACTTTTCGGTTGCAGTGTACTAGGAGACAAAAGTAAAACAAAGAGCCCTTTCAAGCGTGTGTTTCTTCGCTCTCTCTAAATCTGTTTGTACCCACAAACTGAACAATATTACAATGAACAGCTCTTTGCCTTTTTGGAAATGATTGTTTTGCAATGTAATACTCATACTCACTGACACTGGACTCAAAGAAACATGGGACTTGTGAAAAGGAGTTTTATAAGGGCTGTGATTTTATTTGATAAAATTAACAAAATACCACAAACCCTCTCATGAGCCTAATTCAACCTTAAGAAAGTAGATCTTGGTACATTTAAATCCTTCAACAATAGGTGAACAATGGCTAAAGCTTATATCCAGTGCCCATTGGAGAATCGGTTCTCTAATATAAATTGATCGCCCGACTCGCGGCCTTGAAAACAAACTGGTTTGGTTTTAGACCGTGAGTCGGGTGATCGGACTGTGCCACGTTGGTCGCTTTGTGCCCTCAACCTGGCTAGTCCCGCCTACCAAACCAAACTGATCATGCTAATGGGCTCTGTTATTAAGCTTAATTTAGCTATATATGTATATATACAATTTTACTTTTTATATGATGTGATGACATAAATAATTTTGTTCATCCTTTAAGGTTGAAATTGAGAGGGAAAGATAAATTTTCAACTCTCTAGTTTAAAAAAAAAATGTGAATTTGACATTCATTTGGTGCATTGAGATGAGTTATGTTTTTTCAAAATACATTCTGCTGCCTTGGAAATAATATTTAAAAAAAAAGATTTTTATGCTGGTATCTGAAAGTTGCGTACCTTTTATTTCGTTTCTCATTCTTTGGATAACGTTTATGAAAAAGGATGTCACAATTAATAAAGTTTTGTATTGAATTACTTAAAAGACGTGTTCAATCAAAAGGAATATCATGTCTCAGTTTTGACAAAATTCTCTTGCTTTTCAATATGAGATTCTATTTCAAAGCTGCAGTACAATATTATGTTTTACTTTTTTTTAAAATGCAGGTTTCAACAAGGACACAAGAAAAAGGCTTTAGAAGCATATCGCAATGCCCACAAAGCATCACAAGCCCTTGGGCAGTTTGGATATATTCAGCGTGCTTGTGCCTTCAATCTAGGAGCCATGCTTATCTCTTATGGAAACTTCAGTGAAGGGCTCTTATATCTGAATCAGGCCGTAAGTGAATATATAGGCTTATATAATATGTGCATACAAAATATTTATGCTTTCAAGTATGGAACAGAGGTTTGAAAATAATTTGATGCCAGTATTATGAAAAAGTAGAAAAAGTAAATGGCATGTATGTGTGTTGGGAATGAGAAAGAGGGAAAGGGAGGTGCTTAGTTAAAAGGAACATAATGATTATATTTTTTTTCATACCTGTCTGGTTATTCCATTCATCATCAATACAAGGTTGTGCATTAACATTATTAAAATATAATGTGACATTTGTCTACTTTATCAGTTTAGTTTACGTAAGTTAATTGTCACTGATAATGGTTCTTCAAATTTTCTTTAATCCTTCAACTGCTATCACTCTAAGTTCCCTGGTGATTTAGATTTTTTTCAGCTAACGTTACTGACATGATGTTGATTTATATGGTTGTTTTTAAGTATAGTTAGTTTGCAAGTGTCCTCATATTTTTTATTTATTCTTACTATAATTCCAGGTACCCCCTGAGGGTAAGTGTGATGGAAGATCCAATGGCGATTTGTTTTTTAACTATGGACTGGCTCACGAAGGGCTGGAGAACTGGTCAGAGAGCGTACAGTACTTTCGTAAAGCTTTGAAAGAATATGAGTCCGAAGAAAGTAATATGAAAATGGAGACGGACACTATTCAAAGGCTCGCAAAGCTTTCAAAAGAAGCAGGTTTCTTTCAGGAAGCAGATACTTGGCTGCAACAACTGACTGCAGCCTATAATAAATCAGGAGAACGAGAAAAGTCTTTGCAGGTTTGTCTCAAATATATCTACTCGTGAAAAGGCCAAAAGAAAGTCATAACAGAGTCGATTATAATTACATTAAAATCTTTTGTGTGTAAATTGTGTGTAATTATTCACTTTGTCAGAATAATTCAAAATAAATTCATACAGTATTATTCAATACTTTTATTTTTAACTTTTAAAATAAAATGTTGTTGTTAGAACGATGTTGAGAGAAGGTACTTTTTTCCTGTCTTCTCTAGATATGTTGAAATGATGGGAAGTTGTTGATCAACCATAGAGTGGTCAGGTTCTGAGAAGGTACAAGTTACTCTGTGATGATACTTATTTCTATTTTTTTTAACAATAGATGGATATCAGTTTTACTTCACTCACTCACGTTTGACAAGTGCTTTTAATTTCAATAATTACTTTTCAAGGATAGGTTTGATTCTTGTTCACTTCCTCTGAAACAGAACATACATCTGATCTAGAATTTGATCTGTTTTGCTTATATTTTAAAGTTAAAAATACGAAAAATATTTTGGCTTCTTGTCTCTTCTACACACTTATTGCTCTTCCAGACGCAAGCTGAGCATGCCCGCCTTCTTCTTGAAAAGCTAGGCAGAGCAGACGTGGCCGAGGTGGTGGCTGACCAGTGCTTTGAAAGTGTTGAGAAATGTCCTTCATCAAAAGTGCTTGGTATGTGGAACAACAGTTAAAATCTAGAGTATTTCTCTAGCCTTTGAAACAGACAGTAGTTGAGGTGATTTGAAGTGTCTATTTGTGCAAAAACGCCCTTTTATGACATCAAATATTGAACAAGATGAAGGCTTTTGAGTGTGTAAGATATCAAAATTAGGAACTAGTTCCAACCAACATTTCACACCATCTGGTTTTCAATTTTGGTTTCCTCTGAGGATTTGACAGTCTTTGAAAGCCTTACTGTTAAACATTTTAAAAAGAAAAAAAAACCGTTTGTGTGATCCCAAGAACAACAACTGGCTGTGTAAATGCCCTTCTAAATTCAGGGTTTTAAAACAAACAGTTAAAAAACGCATGGAGTATGAATTCTTTAGGCTGTTCAATATACTTTATGAAATGTTATTAGAGCCAGAGTACACCTTATTCAGTTTGAAATAAGTCTGTAATGGAATTGAAATAGTTTTGCCCCCCTCCTCCTTGTTGATAAGTGAATTATTTCTGCTGTTTTTTTCCAGTGAAAGCTGGTTTTACTTTAAAGAATGGACATATGAGTTTAGGGCAGGAGACATTAAAATAATGAACATAAAAGAACAGATTCGTATTCTAACTTGCTCATTATAATATATATTTGAATTTGTCATCAGGTTATGTCCTTGTGGAGTTGGTCTTGGTTTACACACAAACGCACAACTATGCCAAAGGGATTCAGTGCTGTGAACAAGCCCTATCCCTCCACGGCATGATCCAGGCAGAGCCTAAGCTAGCCGCTGTAGTGTTTCAGAACCTTGGGGCTATCTACAACCACATGAAGCAGTACGAATCTGCTGTTGAGTTTCACGCAAAAGCTGCTGAGAAACACGGTAAAAAAAAAATTTGTGTGCCCCTCATCTTTCAGTTAACTCTTTTAAAACACAGTTGAAGCAGTGTTAGTTGTAGTACTTCACAAGACTTCAGCTGCATATTCAGTTGAATCTCCGCTAACAATCACCTGTTGAAGACAATCACCTGTACAAACAATCACACCCACTTTCTCCTTACATTTTTTCTATTTATAATGACACTGTCTAATAAGACCACTTGTATAAGATTATACCATTTTTCTCCTCAACAATGGGTGGTTGTCTAGGTGGACAGGTTTGACTTGATTATGTTTATTTGAAATGGACAACATCACTGACAATAGTTTCTCTCAGCTGTTACCGTCAGGTTTAATTTGGTTCAATAAGCTGTCTCAGTGAAGAGTGCATCAGTTTTACTCATGTTTTTGTGCAGTGCCATCTTTTAATTTCATATCTATTGCCGATTTGATGATACATTTAGTTTGTTGAAGGGGATGAGTGGAATAGGACAGTTTAAAACACTAAGAAGAGTATTGTGCAATCATCTAGAACATTTATGTAGTCTGTAGTGCTATTCTCCAAATGTTCTATAAAATGTTTGTCCTTTAACAATTATGGGGTCAATTTTAGTCGCACATATACATTGTTTTATGTCTGGTGGGATAGCGTTTTATATCTGTATAAGCTCTGGGTCAGCTTTGTCTCATGGTTGAACTCAATAAAGTTGTGGCTACCTTGTTATGCTCACACTTCATTTTAGGAAGCTCTGGACTCAAAATCTTTCCTATATTCATCATTTTTAAAAAAAGCAGAGTACCATTGTTTTATTTTGATTTGTGCCACTCTTCCTATGACAGCTGTACTCAAGGACAGGAGGAGCCAAGGTCACTGTTTCATGAACATGGGCTATGCATACTCTCAGATAGGAGACATGGGAAAAGCTGGAGACTTCTTTCTTCATGCTCTGCAAGCTGCTAAAGATTGTGGTATGATTTTTAAAAAAAATGTATTTTTGCACAGTTGGTTGATGATCGAATTGTTAAAAAATTGTGTGGACTTTTGATTTACCTTTCTATAACTTACAACACAAATTGTGGTTTGTGTAACTTAAGTGCCTGCTGCATGTAAAAAGTACTATTTTTAATTAAACCTTGCTGGTAGCAAAGGAAAGAATCAGATGCATTGACAGCTCTGTGGTTCTTTTTCTTACTTGCAAACACTTCATAGTTTACATATTTTACTTCAAATTGAAAGGTCCTTCTTGAAAATCTTGCGTTAGCAAACAAGTAGAAGTTGTGAGATTTTTTTTTGCAACAAGCCCAAAACAAAAATGTAGGTGTTGCCCTAAGTTAGCTAAAATTTTGTAAATATTTTAATTCATGAAAGTTTTCGTACTCTCCTGTATTAGAGTAAGATGAAAAGAGAAATTTGCTGAAATGCTTACTTTTACTTTAGATGATAAAGGATAAATGCTGTGAGGTATCAGGAGCCATGGTTTACAAAATTTATATTGCAATTATTCATACACACCATTTCTTGAATGTGTACGTTTTCCCAGCAGAATTTTTTGTTCAGGTATATCAGACCATGTGACATGATAATACAGGTTCTAATTATAAATAAAATGGCTTGGTTTTCTCTTTTTTGTTTTTGTTTAGTAATTCTCATGTTGATAATTATTTCTCAGGTGACAGAAAAACAGAGTGGCAGAGCCTTGAATCACTCGGAGCTGTTGCGTACAACGACAAAGCTTTTAACCGAGCTCAGACCTACTATCGTGATGCTTTGACCGCCTTTGCACAGTCCCCTGAAGCTGCCAGCGTCGAGACTCAAGAGAGAATCCTTTCCAAGCTGAAGGAGATTATCCAGCAGCAAATTCCTAAAGCTCCGCAGAAGATTGATGGGAGTAACTTTGCTGGGAAAGTAAGAAGTGATACACTTATTTAAAAAAGTATATTGCCTAGATTTTTCAAAATGGTTTTCGTTGATCTGTACAGAAAAAATGTAGGAACTGAGTGAGCATTTTTTGGGGGTGGGTTGATCTTACAAAATAACCTTTCCTCAGATTTAATTCAAGAAGACTAAATAATGCTTTCATTGTTGAGATACAGTTGAATTCTTATAGTTCAGTACAGTTTAGGTAAACTTCTAATGGGTTGGTGCAAAAAGTTCTTTTGAGTTATATTTTTTTAGTTTTTGTTTTAAATTCTTTATTGATCTGAAATAAACTTGAATGGCAATGTTGCATTATCATTTCATTAAGAGAAAAAAAATAATTTTAAAACGAGATATTACAGTGGAGTTGGCTTTTTAATAGAATGAAATGATCAGTGATAAGTTTAAAACTTTTTGCTGCTTTTTAGATCTGTTTACAAGAAAAAATGCTGATTAATCATATTTGTTTTTTTACTTTCAATTTCAGGGTTCCCATGTCAGTGAGGGTGAAGGTTCGTCTTCTGAGGAGGTGTGTTTCTTAGTGTTGAAAACAAATTATATCTGTTGTCCTGATTGTATTTTGTGGCAATGACTCTGCTTCTATCATCTCATCTGAAAAATGTTGATGCCATTATGGTATAAAAAAATTATGTATAAAATTTTGGTGCTTGAGACTCAGGCAAGTGTTGTCAATGAAAGATGCAGAGGACTATACATCCAACCTATAATGTTACTGTCTCTTACAAAATTGAGTAACATTGTTTGACAGTACTTTACAGAGTGAGTAAAATTCATTGGAGTTCCTCATTCCTTTTATGTCAAGAGACAAAGTCTAATAACAGTTATACTCGTTTAAGTCTCCTTTTTTCTGCTTGAATCCAATGTATCATTGTATCACTTTGAGGTTTTCCTAATGTAATGTTCTATATTTGGATTTCTCTATCAATAGGAAAAAGAAAACGAGAAAGTTGATTCTCCTGGTACGAAGGTGGAAGGACGAGTGTTTGCTGTGAGAAGGAACTCTGGCGGTGTCAAGTAAGTTGACACGAAGCTTTGGAGGCCTTCTAACAGTTTTTAAATGCTTCATGACATGCCCAATGTGACAAAAGTTTGACTCACTCTAGACTTTATTATCGATTCAAGGTAATCTATTGGAACTAGGGTTTTAATACTGTGAATGTATTTAAAAAACTGTTCTTTGGTGAGTGGAACTGAATATTACTCATTAGCTGCTCTTTTTAATTTCAGCCTTGTATTTTACTTTATTTTTTTTGTGATAGCTTTACGATAAAGGTACCAACCCTGTTGTCTCATGAAGGCTGCATAAAATTTCAGTTTTAGCAAGCTGTAGGTGATATATTCAAGGGTTTTGTTTCTAAAACTTTGAATGGGTAATTGGTGATGAACCAAAAATATACATACGGTCTGCTCTAGCAGCCACAGAATGATTGCTTGGAAAGTGGCATGGCTGAACGCTCTTCCCTATCAACAACAACTTCCTCTTATTTGTTCCCCACATTTCAGCGCTCATGAGTACAGTGAGTTGAGTTGGTCTTTCTGCTTTTTTCCACCTCTCAACTCAACATCTTTGTAGATGTAACTGCGATCAGGGAATAATTTTATAACTGTCGTGTTTTGTCAGCCCTGTACACATAATCGGTCGACCAGTCCTCGAAAAGCTGTGTCAGCTTTGTGTCGAGCTTAAAGTCACCGTCCCCAAGGGAAGTGACTGCAATCACTAAAATGTTGAGGAAACGAATGGTTCCATCCATTTCCCCCATTGCTCAGGTTCAAGCGCTCTGCATAAACTCACACTTTGGAGCCCTCTCAAGCACCGTGTGTTTAGGCGGAGACCACTGTATTTGTCTGTATGTATCACAGGTACATTTCAAGTCTATAAAGAACATTTTCTTTAAAATTTTGTACTCATGAGCTCTTCCACAATTTTCCTAGTTCTTAATGCTTCTTTTTCTATTCTCAGATATCTCCGAGTGAGAAGGTCAGGGACTCTCAAACGATTCAAGAAAGTTGCTCTTGGACTTGATGATGAGCTGACGAATACTGGGGGATCTCACCATCCGGAGGTGTTTCGCTTGTTCAAAGCTGACGTCAAGGGAAAAATACCCAGTGGGGATGAGGAGTCACTCATTGGAGCAAATGATCCTGAGGATATTGATGATGAAGAGTTGGAGAATGGTCCCAAGTCAGTGTTTTTGCTCAATATACTTTTTGTTTGTTAATTTCTCGTTTTGTAAAGGTCTTGATCGTCTACTGATCTGTTCACTGCTAGAGTTTTCACAAATTATTAAGCAGGACAGAGCCACCCCGTAGCTAATCCATAAATATATCATTAGCATAACAATACACAACCTTATTATCATTTATCACTTCAGCATGTTAATGTATCCTTTTATCTTTCCATCTTTTCTATTTTTACCAGATTTGAGACTTATCTTTATGTTTACATCTTATGCCATTGGAAAAAAAAAATACAAGCATATAATTATTAAAACCACGAATGGAGGTTTGTAGAAGTAGCACTTTCAGAGTTTCCATAATTTATACTGGAAATCCAGTACCGTGTCTGATTATAGTATATTATGTCTATCCTATGATAAAACTCCTAGACCAGTGTGCCCTTGTGTGTTTTTCACCTGGAATGATATGAAAGAAAAGTGTATTAAACTTTCTACTGGTATGTTTCAAAGGAACATTTTATAATGGTGGTTACAATTTGTTTTTGTGTTTGATTTCAGTGTGGTTGAGCTGAGAGATGGAAACAGAAAGAGGTTAGTTCATTCAGAGCATATTATGTTAGCATAATGTATTACTGAATGTTAAGAATATTGGATTATGGCTGCATTACCTGCTCTACTTTTTATCAAATTTCTTAACTGGAGACTGCAAAACTTTATTTATTTCATCGCTCAAGTTTTTGTTACCCATTGTTTGTGAACTTTTCCTCAAAAGTAAATGTGGATTATGAAACTGGATGGAACATTGTGTGCTCTATTGTTTCAGTTGTATGTTTCATCAGGATAAAGTAGAGGGAAAAAAATGCATTTGTACATGTTTTACAACGCCATCAGAGAGCAGCAATCACAGTTGGCAGCAAATAATATGAGGCTTCACGAATAAGAAATGCTGAAACCAAGAGAAGCACACATCCACAAGTGGAAGTGGAGCATTTAAATCTTCAAAACCTGGCAAGCTTTTCTCTATCAGAATTGGTCTTATCAACCACTGCAGAAGCCACAAATCATCGTAACCTTTAATTCTTGAAATGCTTCTATTTAGCTGGAGAAATATTCTCCTCTGCGGATGTATTGGTCATCATCAGAATTGATGGATGAGCTATTATTATAACACCCCCATCAACACAATTTAGATCATTTAGCAGTTTGTGGTGCTTCGATCCTGTCTGTCAAGGCCAATCTGGGCTGAGAGGGAAACTGCTTCTCAACAGATAGACGGAGATACTCAAAAAAACCTCCCCCCATGCAGGATTCGAACTCCTGTCTTCTGTGCGCAAAGCAAAGCTTCTGACAAATACACCGCCCAAGCCGATCAAAGGGTGCAACTCTTTTCAAATAACTTGGCTTTGGTGGTCTTGTGATTAGACTGTTTGGCTCACCATCAAATAGTCGTAGGTTTTAACCCCATCAAGGGCTCTGCGTTTTGTCCTTTGGGAAAAGCATTTTACTCTAATTTTCCTCACTTCACCTCACTCAGATGGAAACAGGTGCCTAACTGTAGATGGCAAACTATCTTGTCAGTTTGTGTTTGAACACTTAATCGGCTGCCAACACTGTATGCGTCCTTGGAAGCCAAGAATGTTTCTGAGTATTCTAAGGTCTGCTGGGGTTATAATATAGATTACAAAGCAAATAGAATTTTCTGTCTGGAATATGTGCAATACAAATACTATTTGTTTTTATTGTTACTTGATTTTTTAATAATAAGTTCATGTTTCTTTGATGTTTATAGAAAGGGGTAAGGGAAATGCAAAAGCCAAAGAAAAGCAGAAGAGTGAAATATGCCCTTTTTTGTCAAATGTTCTACCTTTTGTAAAACTCTGTTAATATGTTTCTCAACAGATATGTTAAAATTCGCAAGTCTGGATCCCTGAGGAAATTCAAGGCTCATGGCTCTGGTGCAAAGAATGGAGAAGAAGAACGCATCTATGAAGTACTGGAGTCAGATGGGGAACTAGACCCAGAGGATGGACTCACTTCTCAGGAGGATGAAGACAAAGATGATGAGGAAGATGTGGAAAGCACTAAAATTAGGTATGATGATGTGTATGTTGCAGCGAAAAAAAAATCTTTGTAACATACCTTCTTTGATATAGTTTTTTGTAATTTTAGACTTGTATCATGGTATACATCCTTGTATATAACATATTTTCATGGCATGAATTGATAGTATGGATGAACAAAGATATTATTTTTAGATGTATCTTGTCCATGATAACCTGTTGTTGGGTATTAGAAAAGAGAACTGTCTTTTTAAAATCCAACATGACAGTAGATGAACATATGTAATGAGAAAATTGTGGGAGACATTACATTTCACTTCAAGAACTGTACTGCTTTTGCTGAGATTATTTCTTAGTCTCATGTTATGTATGTTCTTCATTAGATTCTATATGTGCTAGTGACTGTTTTAAGTCTGGAAGTCATGATTTGTTTTGTGATATAGGCATCAGCGCCCACCTGACTCGTATGTGAAGTCTCCTGGCCGTAAAGTGCTGAGCGACACAATGAGTGGGAGTGAGGAAGTGGAGGAGGTTGGCGACGACAACTCTGATGATGATAGCGAAAAGGAAGAGCAGAAGAAGATGAGAGCAGCCATGGCAAAGTTTAAAGATGGTGAGGTGTTTGCTTTGAAATGCTTATTTCATTGATTGAACGTAAATTACATTATAACACTGATAGGTTGAACACAGAAGACTCGAAATCATGCATCCCTCGAAGTGTGCCTGCGGTTCCATTTTTTTCGTTCTTTTTTTATCTTTGTAAGATATCCCTCGAAGTACTGAGGCAGGTCCCAACGAATTCCAGCTGTCCGTGTTAGACTGTACGTGAGTTCTTCACAAGGTCTTTGCTCCTTCCTATGCCTGTTATAGAGCTCTGTGTACAACTCATCCTCTCTTTTGTTCACTTTATTTACTCTTTGAGGCTGTCTTTCACATGATTGCAGCCCTCAGCTTGTCTTCAAACTGCTCGAGCTATGCATTGACACGAAAACTTTCCCGCGCAGGAAGAGGTGTAAAATCTGACTCCTGCCTGCCACCCAGATTGTACATCTGGGCAAAAAAAAATGTCCCCCAATCATTGTTATTTGCAGGGGAGGGATGGGATTGGTTGATCATGCTTATTACATCAATACGTGGGGCTATGGGAGGAAACAGAGGGGACATTCAATCATTTTTGTAATTCCTTGTTCAAACAATGGTCCTAATGAGATGCAAGCACAGGTGGCAATGGATTAGTGAGACTGACGCATGCCATTATCAGAGCAGCTGGGATAGCACTTGGGAGGTGCAGAGTTTTCACCACTGCTTGCTGACTGGACAGGCAACTCTTGATTCCTGTTCCCAAGAAGAAAACTGTTTAAAGTGGAATTTCCCCACTTCAGCCAGGTGGGAATGGGTACCTCGCTATCGACAGTGAAATGTATTGTCAGTTTGTTAGTGTTTGAGCTCTTAATCTGCTGCTTGCACTGTATGCCTCCTGGGAGGCCGAGAATATTTCTATGTGTACTAGGGTCTGCTGGAGTAATAAAAGTTGTAAAATGCATAGAACAAACTGTAGAGTGTGGATATGGGCAATATGAATGCAGTTGAAAACCTTTGTGCTAGCAGCCAAGGATGATTTGTTAGCATATGAAATCAATCCTGTGTGCAATTAGAAATGAGCTGAGCTATTATATTATGCAAATGCTGTTCCTTATCCAACGATATGGACCACTTTTAGTCTCTGAAAATAGAGCAATGTACAATGCACTGTTTTTCATATTTTTGTAACTTGTGTAATATTTTGAAAAGTGTTTTAGTATGTTATTTATTGCGTTTAGAAGCAAAATTAATTCTTCCTTTGAATGCATTTTAACTATTTATGTTTGCAGCAACAACACTTAAAGAGGTGGAGGCTGATGTTCATGTGCAGGTAAAGTTTCAAAAGTTCTGATCATCTTAGTAGTAGCCTTGTCCTTTTCACTGTTAGTTCATACATGAGCCGAGGTCAAAAGGTGCCCAATCTATAGTATTAAATACAACTTTCACACAGAAAGCAAACAAAGGCTTTTTCTGCAAGTCAAGAGGATTAATTTTTTTATTTTCAGTCAAAAAAAGATAATGGTTATGAAGCATTTACTGAGAATTTGATGATAAACATTAGGAGGTGAATAGTTTCCCTTGTGACATTTGACACAAAACAAGGTCAAAATAAGACATATAGACTCTATCAATCAATAATATTGTGTTATTTTTCACTTCAAGGAGTTAATTTAAATGCATATTATTGCAACAGGTAATAAATAAATGTGACGACATCGTAAAAAACAATGACACATTGTGCATCATGTCACGAGGGAAACCAGGAATTGTCTAAAAGTTTTCTATGACAATAAGTAAAAGCTACAGATGTAACGGACAATGTAAAAACTAATTTGCTGAAGCATTTATGAATAAAATACACACACACAGGTATTAGCATTTTGATATATAATTTTTTGTAATTTCTAGTTTTCCCACGACAAAGAGCTATGTGACACGAAAAAAGGGAAACCAAATTTATTGTTTCAGACATAGGAACAAACAAAACCTCACCATACAGTTTGAAATATTGCTGGAATAAGAAAATATGCAATACCCTTTGATTTAATATGTGCTGCTTAGGCACAAAATAAGTAAAATCTACAATTTAGTTTCCCTTGTGACAAACTATTTGAATACACCAATACATAGAGAAATATGTTGCTTACATCAGATATCTGACACAAGAAATTCAGCTCATTTCGTTCAAGACAGATAGTCATGACTATATGAAATTAATTCTGCGATAATGCAGCAGCGGATTTCAACGTTATGGTCCTGGTCTCCAAAAGCATGGAAACTTAGAGAACGAGGTACGCAATTCCCATCACCAACAGTCGAGACTGGGTATACTATATTTTCAAGATGAGGAGGTAAAAGACCAAGTGCTACAGAATCAACTGTACCAACATCAAGCACTTGCAAGACAGATCAGGGAGTGGATGTTGGTTGAAGTACTGAGACATTGAATTAACAACGGTTTTTGAGTTCAGTAAAAGACTGACAGTTTGACATTTTCTCTTGCTCTGTATCACAAAACTATGCTCGAGGCATAACCATGGATGTGTTAAAAATCATAAAACTGAGAATTTCAATAAAATTCGTACTAGTATAAAAAAAATGTACTGTTAATTTTCACACAGGCCTTATTAGGATGGCAGGGTTCTGATGATTCTTGTTTTATCAAAAGGGATCTTAGAGGGTGCTTTTATAGATATAAATATAGAAACATTTAGCTTCTTCATTGATGAATGGGTCCAAGGGTAAACTAGGGGAATGGTAGATTTTGGTATCTTTGGCAGGGATATTGTTTTAAGAACTGTGTTATCCAGACTTTCAGGATTTTGTCTGAATTTTTTTAAACCTCAGATGAATACCTTATCTTTTCAGGCAAGGAGAGGTGACGGTGATTCTTCCTCTGAGCGTGAAGAAGAAACAAGTGAGGAAAGTGAATCAGATGACGATGAAGATGCTACAGAACGGAGGTATGCACTCTTTCAGTACTTCTAGATGTTTCAGCTTTCTTATGGAAAAACTGTTTCTTGTGGTAACTCTTTGACAACCATGCCCAGGCTATCATATTTCATTCTTCTCACCTTTTCCGAAATTGATGCTATACGCCAGATTGACTTTTAACCTTTTTGATACGACAAGTTTGTGCTTTCCCTGGTATGTCAAGATGTGTAAAATTGTGTCACTCCATGATGCACAAGATATGTCAGTAGGACATTAAACGGGAAGGCGTTGTCTCTTCTCGGACTAAAATGAATTGAACAGATTTTTTACATTTTGAATGCTGTAGGAATTCCATTTTATCTAGACTCCTTTAGGTCAACAGCTAAATTTACATCACTGCACGCTGAAACGTGAGCTTGATGCACAAAGTGGAAAAGACAATGCATGCTCAGATCTATAATTCTATCAACTGTGTTTTTTTATTTACAGGCGAGGTAAAGCTCCCACTCTGCCTTCCAGACCTCCACCTGATACAGGTGAGGTACGAACGTATGAGCGGCCTCTGAATAACAGTGAAAAGATCTACGAGACTATCGATCACAAACCTCCGTCGGGGCGTGGGCGTGACGGCGATCATGTGCATTTCAAAGGTGAGCAGGAGAGCGGTTCTCTCTATTCTCGAAGAGCGTCTGACCTTGATGGACATAATTACTTCCATTCTGATGAGGAACCAATGAGGAAAATGAAAGAGGAAGTATCCACTGGTGGTGATGACCCTGAAGGTGGAGGTGGGTATGGAGGGGGATCCATGTCCTCGAGCTAGGGGAGACTAGAGGCTCTTGGGATTTCTTACTTACCCCCTACCAGTATCTTTGTGAACTAACATCTTCTAGTCTCCAGCTTTCAGCTGTTCTGACTGACTTCTTGTTATGGCATGCTCGTAGTCTGATCATTATTGTGTTGTTGCTTTTATACCTTGCTCTGAAAATATGTTGTGGCAAAATTGCAATACAATTTTTTTTTTTAATGAGTGAGTGGTCTCGTAGAAGAAAGGCCATTCTCCACTTTACTGAAATGCTAGACTTTTTCATACCTTCATGAAATAGTCCCACAACACACGTAAGTTTGCCAGTGGTAGTTTTTTGCTAGTTTCTGAAGTTAGGTTTGAAGTCTCTAAGCGCCCATATCATCACTCCTCCACAAGGCCTTTCCCCCTGTTACTGTCACATCCCAAGTACCCAATTATAAAATAGCACTACATTTACTACGACATCGTTGTGTTAAATTATCAGCAGTAGCTGCGCATAGATATACTGAAATCAGACTCCTGAACCAGTTTCTTATTTATAGAATTTAGAGTTTCAGGCTGACGTATCAGCCACATCAGGTTTATCCTCATGTTTTTTGTATGTTTGGTTTTGACTCCTGTCACAATAATTTTTTTCTTGATTTACATTTGGGTCATTGGCTTTTGATGCTGCTGCTTGAGCCATGATGAGACTGTGTAAAATCACTTTGTCGGCCAGCTGTTTTTATATACTAAGCCCAAAATTTTAAAAGATTTTTATGGCAATTTCTTAATCTGTGGTATTGGTTACATGTGCTCAAGAAACACCTTGTCAAAGTTCCACTTCTAAATATTGAAAAAGCAAAGAAAGGATGCCTTAATTATGTGTAATTGTTTAAAAGAATTAACATTTTCTCTCTCCTGAGAAATTTTGTTTTCTGGACTTGATGAAAGATTTGAAACACTTGCCAAAGATTTAATTTTGAATGAATGCCAAAAAAAAAAAAAGAGCTGTCAAAATTAAAAGAATATTTCCCCAACACTCTATGTAAGATGCAGCTGACTTTCAAAAAGACCTTTTTTGACATCTGGGGGCTTCGTCTACTTTTTTTGGCAGCTTTGTTAAAGGCAGGAGTGGGAAACAATGGTTGAATTACCACATGATATTCTTTTAGTGTTATGAATTGCTCCACTATTCTCCTGTCCTCTTTGGGAGATCTTTCATTTATCTGTACTTATTATATCAGGTGATGATTTCATCTCCTAGCTATGCATTTTTTTAGTATGGAAATAAATACATGTATAGCTTTATGTATCTTATGAGATATTTGGTGGGTTTTTTTGTTTTTTCTCAGGTAAGACACTGACTCTTTCCAAGCATGCCTTTCCTGTGAGAGAAACTAGATTACATTGTTTACCCGAAAGAGTGGTATAGCTTACAAATATATGTATAAACTTCTGTATTGTTTAGTCTCCCTCTTACTGTAGATTTTGTGTATCATGAAGACTTTTCATGTGAAATTCTTCCTTTCAAGATGTGCAGTGATGATTTATTAAATCCAAATGTACTCTTTTTAGGTGAAAGGTAAATTTTTAAGCGGTGAGACAGGAGTCCACTTCCCTTTTTTATTCTTCTGATTAGCATTTTGCTTTACAAAAAATCTGCTTAACTCGAAGAAATTGGCTGGTCCTGAGGAGTTTGTGTTTTCTGGGGTTTATTGTATGATTGTTACTGATATTCAGTTTATGACCCATTCTGTGTTATGGGTCTTTTTTAGTTGCGATTAAAATTAAAAAGAAAAAAACAACTAGTCATATCAAAGATGCTCTGCATTTTTTCTAATCTCATTCTGTTGATGAGGTTGTTAACCCCCACTTTACCAAACTTTTTAAAAAACATTTTATTATAGATTGGTGAAAGGATATGTGGTTGAAGAGACATGATCAGGACCATGGAAGGGTATGGAAAAGTGTAACAAAGAAGAAATTCTGGAATAGCCTTGTGGAGGATGTAGTTGGAATGGGGAATACTACTGTAAATTAATGGGTTTAAAGCTAGTGACCAGACCTTACATGTAATTTTCTGCTAGTGTGTAACTGTTTCTGACATCAGTGTAAGGAAAATGCGTTCAGTTTAGCACGCTCATCATGATCATGCATATAACGAAACACACACATATTGAGCAGAATTTCAGGTCCCTAATATATTATCATCATGTATATTCTTTGCATTTAAAACACACACATAACCAAATTCGTACATAATGAAAGAGAGTTCTGCCACCTGTCAATTTTTCTATATGTAATAATAATAATAATAGATAGTATTTGTATAGCGTAAATCCCCGCCCAACAGCAAGCTCTATGCGCTTCACAATCTATACTATTACCCCGGCAGACCTGAGAGCATTCTGAAACAAACTCAACTTCCTGGGAAGCATACAGAGCAAGCAGCCATTTATAGGCGCTAAAACACTCACAAAGTGACAAGATCTTTCACTGTCTATGGCCGGGTACCCATTTCCACCAGGGTGAAGTGAGGAAAATTCGTGTAAAGTGCCTTTCTCAAGGACACAACGTCGGGCCCGGGGCTCGAACCCCCGACCCTGCAACCTCACGATTACGAGTCCGGTAGCCTAACCCCTAGACTGTCATATGTTGATAGTAACCAAATCTGTCTCAATGCCTGCTACACAAATGTGTTTGTTTGTATGAATAAATAACCTGCCCCTAGTGTTAAGTTGCATTTATCTTCTCAGAGAAGTGTCAAAAATTAAATGGGGAGGGGGGTTTCTCAAATTTATTGTATTCTTTGTTTTTAATTACTGGTAGTTATGAAAGACAGAAATGAGTATAGTATAAGAAGAAAAGGGGATAATTAAAGGGGAAAGCGGGGGAAGAAAGACAAGTTGTTTGGAATCCATTTCATGGAATTGTCACTTTTTGCTACCAAGTTCTAAAAAGTTTCATTGTTTGTGTACATACATAGATAAATGGAAAATTCTGTTAAAATTGTCCCGGCAGGATTTCTTCTGACTTTGTAGGCTGTATGGAGTTGTTATTCATAACACTGAAACGAAGCTTGCCTTTTTTTCAAGTGGCCCTTCTAACAAAATCCTTGTAAACTTACAACTAATTTTTCTTACACGGACATAGCATCACTTCATATCTTGTTATGGTTCTCTTTTTACTGAATGCTCAAAGTTTCCATTAAAAAAATAATGACCCACATCTTACGCCATCTTATTCTTGACTCTCATAGATTTTCCCCAAAATTCTCATTAATTTTGCTCAGAATAGTCCTTTTGTATGTTTTATTTTAAAGCTGTTTTGGGTACAACTATGACATAATCTAGGCAATCTTGAAATTCTATAGATTTTCCTGTTTGCACTAAAAGAAAATTACAAGTGCCGAAAGTCACCCTCAATTACTTTTATATTTAAAGTGCCTTCTGTCTCTGTGGGCTACATTTGGCCAAAATCTCAAATAACTCATTGAAAGCTCAAAATGCCCATGCCTCTCCACTGGAGGCAAAATAAATAGGGCCTTTGGGAGAAAGATTCATGTATAAAAGGGACCATTTGGAAACACTTTTTAAAAAATGTGTTATTTAATTTCACAATACAGTGCCTACAACTTTCACTAAAATGTATATGTATAACCGAATGGAGCAAAGTGATCTGCAGCTTTATTTATAGACTTTCTCTTTAAAGATGCTTAACAGACTAAACTTCCATTTGAAGCTCTCGCGGTCTAGAGTTATGATGTTTGTCTCCCAATCAAAAGTTTCCTGAATTGAAATCTAGCAGCAACCATAAACAATTTTTTCTCTAAAAGTTTGCCTTTTCTCCTCCTTTCCTGTTCTCTAGTCTTGATCTGTCATTTGCTTTCCTCTCCTTCTTTTCACTCCTCCGTGATGTGAAGTCTGTACCAAATGAAATTATGTTAGGCTGTGGGTGCCATTTTTGTATGTGATATTTCATGTTTCTCTACCATGTGCAAATAAGATACCAATAGCTGTGAAATGTGAGGCAGCGCTGTGAAATCAGGCGCTCGTCAAAATAATCAAAGTGAAGAAACTGTCATTTTTCCGTAGGTTTGTGAATTTTTATCAAATTTTTCTTTTGGCTCAGCGTCTTTCATGTCCATTAAAGAACAGATTTCTGTGTGGATTTTACTGAAAAATGTTGATTAAAGGCCCCCAAAAATGTAAATTTTCAGTTTCCACAGACTCTCAAGCTAAGGAAATAACTCATCTTTGGCAGCCATTTTCTCACTAATTTTAGCTCTGAAACCAGGTGACCCCCCACCTCCTTCATTCGCAAATATCTCGACTCATATTCAAGATAAATGGGTATTTTTTTCATCAAAATGAACGAGCTGTAAGTTGATACCAAAACTCCACACGCCCAAAAATTGACGAGAGCCTGATTCCACCATGTCGTGACACAAATGTTTTATTACAGCTATTGTTATGAGAAAGTCATCCTTGGAAATACGTTGTTGTTTTTTTTTTGTCCCTTCCATTGCGATGAAAGCAGGACAATTTTTTTTTCTGACGTCTTTTATGTTCCCTTTGATCATGTGTAATTATTGTAGTGCGCGTTTATTTCTTTTTTTTGAAGCAGATAGAGGCTCACTAAACCACATTGAGAAGATCCTAGCTTGTGTTGAAGTCTTGTCAGATCCTAATCCCTCTAACTGTATCTGTTATTTTCTGTTATTTCAAATGTCCCACAGATATGCTGTACAAGTATCTATAGCTCTCTCATAAACATGACATCTGTTGCATTATTTATTTTTACTTATACACATTTTATTGCCTGGAGCCAAGGTCATATATTATAGACGAATAACTTTAGCTGTGCATTACACTATGGGGGTAAAAAAATTGCAACAGAAATGATTTTGGTGTCATTAGAACCAGAAAATCTTCCTCTATAACATACTGAAAATCGGCATGAATCGGAAGGGAGGAAATTTGTTTAAAATGCCGTTTTATGGTATAGTATCGAAATAGTCAAATATCGATACCAAAACTTTTTAGAATCGCACGCCATATCTCAAAACA